ATCTATGGACAGAACATAAAGAAAAGGGTTAATCACAAAAGGTACCCCTGAACTTTCACCTAATTACCAAATGAGACCTAATCTAGCTTCATTATTCGAAAGTAGCCCTGCTCGGGTTTATACGTTGTCTCACATGACCACCGTCTTAAAGCAAAATAGCATTTCAATAACTCCTCTGTATTTCGTAAATATACAACAATAAGCCCTTAAATTCAACAAAGAACGAAACCTCTGGAGTGTTTTCGTAATTTTCCAAAATTAGCTGGGTTTTGTTTGTAATCCAATCCCCTTATAAATGGTAGAGAAAGCCTATTTAACAAAACTATAGACGAAAAATGTATGCTTAACTATGATCAATTGGCTTGTGGCAGTAAGAAGCTGAAGCCCGAATTCTCGCGAATAAGCGGCGGTGGTTCAATATCCGAAATATCAAATCGGTCCATTGATTTGGAAAGATCGTCAACTGAAAACGGTATGCTGCAAAATAAACAAACAGATTGAGATTATGACCAATTAATGAAATAATAAATAAGTAAAAAGGAATAAACTAACAATTAAATATATTATTACGCAGCAACCTTGAGTCATCGTCCAGCAGGAAAGAACTACTAACAGCGTTATTCGAGTCTTCTGTCATCAACACTCTCATGTTGGATATTACCTGTGAAAAGAGAAGTCAGTAAAAAAAACATATACTCTAGCAAATTACCAAAATTTCATTCAATGATTTAAAATATATTATGCCATGTTGGAAAAAAACAAGCATTTTACATCTGGTGATAAACTATGCGTGCCATATTTGTCGTCCCAGTACATAGTGCTGATTCTGTACAACTGCTGGATACTGAGGACCTGTAATAAAAATCGAAACTTGTCAGCTAAATGGTAAGTGGATTATTAGATAAATTTCATGAACCTTGTCACCTAAATGGTAAGTGGATTTTTAGATACATTTCATCACAAAAAAATTAAATAATAATAATAAAAAATATATAAATAAATTCACCGGGAAAGCAAAATAACTTACAGGGCATAGATCATGACTTATTTCATCTAATGTCTTCTTTGGCTTCTGATGTATGACCTGTCACAGTACAAAAGATGTTTTTATAAAATTCGTATTCCTTACAAACAACAAAAAGAAATGCTCTTTAATGTTCTTGTTCTTCTTTTTGCGAATTCGTGATTTGGAATTTTCATGCAAAGAAGAGAAATAACCAAAATACCAGGAATCCGATAGCCTGTCTTATATGCTTGAGCTCATCCCAGGATGTACCTGCATACTGTAATATATGTGGCAAATTTAGCAAGAGNAAACGAACAACATTCTCGCCTCAGTAAAAGGCTGCAAGCAACAAGTAAACATCATTATCCCATTATATCGGCTAATGAGGCTTAGCAGAATGTAAAATTGGTCTGCAAAAACTAAAAAGTAATATTCGGTACCTGTTGAATAACTGCACGTTGATGAATGAAAATATTTGAGTAAACACTTTCCGGACCAAAAACGGTGGTACCTGCAGATGATTTTAATATTCATAAAAAATATTCCAAAAATGCATAACATACTAATATGAAAGACACATTCAAGATTAATAGTGCATCAGAAGCAATTTTAGTAAAGAAAAAAAAAAATGTGATTACGTGATTCGTTTTCAGTGTGTTCAGAAAATTCCCGAGGCTTTTCACTATTCCTTGCCAATGAGCTATCAAAATTTCCTGTGCGGCTGCATTTGCTAAAGCACGAGCTGTTGATCCTTTAACTAAGTTTGCTCGGGATATTCTTGGAGCCTACACACCAATCAAATTACACACATGTGAAGTCACAAATACTGCATATAAAACTAATAATCAACAATGTGTCACCCCATAAAAATAAAATAAAAAAAATAAAAACAGAGTTCCGATATTGATTCTGACGAAAACACGTCGAAAGTTTACCTGAATGCATAGCCCAAGAAGTGGAGAAATCTCTTTCTTTAGATTATCGCGAATCATTCCGTAAATTTTCTCCACATAAGCTGTCAGTTGCTGTTTAAACAGTAATGCAGGGTATTTTGCCTCTACTTGCCGTAAAGTACCAGCTGAATCATCATTCAGTAATGAAAGATTTACGCCATGAGGGCTCCCACGAAAACTCTGCAATTAGAAAAAGATTAAATAAATAGAAAGTATTATCAGACAAGAATCAATCATCCAAATATTGTTATGTTTAGTTTAGGTGTGGCCCAAAAAAAAAGATTATGTCTAAAATAACTGTTAGGTATCCCAATTGAACAATCACTTTGAAAAAAAAAAAAATATTCCAACAATAACAAACACACCCCTAACAAGTGATTTTATATTTTACAAATTGCACGTACTTGTAATAACCTTTCGGGGTATGTTTTCACATTTTTCAAATGTAATTAAAAATTTAATTTTACAATTTTCGTATATTTTAAACCTGTGTCATTCTCCCGAACAAAGTGGCCGATGGCGAACGGCGGTGTTGTGGGGCAGTCCCGGCAGCTGCCCCAGCTTTCAGCGTGAGTTGCAACAAAAGCAGTAGAGTCGAGGCATTTGATAACCAATATGCCAAGATATCATTATTGTCCTGAGTCTTGCATACATAATTTTAAAAACATTAAAAAACGAGTCCAGTGAAAAAAATATGTATATATATATTTTTTATATAAAAAAAATGGAAACTTTAATTAGAATCATAGATTTTTCCCCTTTCACGGTTCACCTCTATAGCGTTGCCGATGGTTTGTATTATCCGGTCGAAAATGCTCGTCCGCTCGACTTCAAACGAGTGCCACTGCCTCAGACATTTGTAAATAATGCAAGCGGCAACTGGTCGACCTTTTGAGAAGCCGAGATGCTGGGCAACACAACGGATGAGCAAATCTTGATACTCTTGTTGCTTCTCGTTGAGAGATTTTTGAGGCCTATCATCAACTTCTGATTGGTCTCTCATGTTCATTGAAGGACTATGAAAATCCTTTTAAAAACAAACATTTAGAAAAGATGTTAGGATTATGGACTGTGTAAACAGATGGAAAGGTAGTATTTTTTTCTTTTTCAAAATACTCGGACTTACGACGGTTGTTTTTGTGCTTTCGACCCTCTGAAAAAAATTCAAGGAAAAATTTTATTATACAAGTGCTCAATGATATATAAAAGTTAAAAATTGACATTTTTTTTTCTTTTGGAATTATTAGAATTATGTATTTATTTATTTTGGGCTTGTAAGTTCACCTGCATTATTGATCTGGAATTCCTGGATAGCAATTTATTATTCTGGGCCATGGCCAGAGCCTGCTGCCGAAGAACTTTATTTTCTGATTCAACGTTAGTCAGCTTTTCTTCAAGCCTATCAATAGGACACATTATATGTTAACTGTAGCTTTGCGAGATCAAAGATAAATGCAAAAAAATAAAAGAGATGAGCTATCACAGCAGATAGCTCATTATTCATTTTCCTTGTAACAGCCTAGTCCATAATGTAAACACATTTGGCAGAACAAATTTAAAGGCACTATTATTTCAAGAAGAAAGTGTCCTGATTAAGCCACCTAGATTGTAGGTTCCCAATTAAAGATTCAAAAATAAAGATTGCAATCATCACTGAAGCTTCCCTCTATCAGAATTATTAAAGAGAATAATTTATAAGAAATATTCTACCTGCTTAAAGATTCCTGAAGCTGATGAACTCTTTTTTCAGTTTCGTCCAACTTCTGGCCCTTACCCTCATTTGATTCCATGGCCTCCGCATATTTCCTCTCAGCCTCTTCAGCTCGTTGTCTTTCTGATTGCAACACATCCTGTGAATAACAAAAATTACAAGCATACACGAATTTGAGTGGGACAAACGATTTTTACCACAAAAGGTAAAAAAAAAAAAATAGTAAAATAAAAACATTCTCAGGGGTTACATTCAGTTTTTCCATTTCGGCTGTAAGAGCCTCGATCTTGGCAGTATCCTCAACAGGAACTGGGGTTTCTTTAACAATGGCAGCTTCTTCAATTGCCTTCTGAGCAACCTCACGTTCTTTAACAAGCAGAGCATTACTTTCGTCCAATTTGCTTTGCATGCCTTCTAAGGCCTGCTGTAATTTTGCTATTTCCTGCACTTTTCCCTCCTTTGCCTCTTCCAATTCATTCTGTTCACACAAACTCTCGGTTCAGTATAAGTATAGTTTGTGAGTTGTGCAATGAGCGATATATTACGGCAGAAAGATATGAATCAGGTGTCTGCAAATAGAAGCTAAAAGTTTTAATGA